ATCAAACACGCATTCCATGATGTTCTTACAAAATGTATGTTTTTAGTTTTTATAATTAATTAAACTAAATATTATTAATTTGGAAAATATATAAAAATTATTTTTACAATATTAGTTATAACATATGATTACTAATTAATGTATATTCAAGAAAAAAGATGCATCTTAAATACCAAATCTAATATCATTTATACTTAATAAAAATCTTGTATAGGCATATATTATTATATTAACTTTTAAATTTTGATAATTACTTCATTTAAAATTTAATCTAACTGTATAATTACACTTATGCAACCAAACAACACGCTTGTAATTATACTCTAATTATGTTATGACAAACAAACATGCCGTCATAATTATTATATTATGTAACTACCCTAATAATTACACCAATTTCAATTACATATCTTTCCTAACAGACCTTTAGTGTCTTCTATATATTGTTCGTTTAGCTGCTTTGGAGACTTTCTTTTTTCCTTTAGAGGTTTGAACTCATTGTATATTTAGTACCTTTTAGTCATCTCATTGGTTTGATCCCATAGTACATGTTTTCTTTCCTTTTTCTTTTTAAATGACAAAATTATTTTCTTATCTTAGATGGATATCTCTAACTTATGCGGAAGATTATGATTCTATAATTTCAATAGATTTTACATATGAATTCTGAAACCTAAGTCCTAATATCATTTGAAGGTAAAATCTTGCGGCTAAAGATTAGCTAAGTCAATTATCCGATAGATTTCCCTTTTGATACGAAATAACATTACTTTTCACATGATGAGCCTGCCGAGTAGCCATGGTTTTTTTTAGTCTTTTTGCCATGATCATAGAAAATTTGTATTATTATTGTTTTATTTTCTATTTACTAATTACACAATTTTCACGATCCCAAATTCCCTCCGTAGGATATCGTGATGGCACCTAATTTCTAAGACTAGGTAAGCCTATCAATGCGGAATAATAATAAATATCTGAAATAAATAAACTATAATTCAAACAATTTTAACTCCCAAAACCCGGTAGAAATAAATCACAAGCTTCTAAGAATTTATTCTCAATGTTTCTATATATCAAGGTCTAAATAAAATATAAGGAAGCAACATAAAATGATAGAAGGGGACTCCAGAGTCTGCGGACGCTGGTAGATATACCTCGAAGTCTTCGTGCGCAGGTAACTCACTGACGTCTAGGTTGGTAAGATGTACCTGGATCTGCACAAAAAGATGTGCAGAAGCGTAGTATGAGTACACCACAGCGGTACCCAGTAAGTGACAAGCCTAACCTCGGTAGAGTAGTGACGAGATCAGGTGAGGCCCTACTGGAATATAATAATGGCATAGTAAAATGTTTAACAATATAGTAAAATAAAATAACATTGAAAATTAATCAAATAGTATGTCACATTTAATGACACCAAATAATTGCAAATAATATCTCGTGGAATTAAAACAGAATTTCCTTCAACTTTATGAAAATCACAACAATTAATCGAAGGCAACTATGGCCATAAATCAATATCAACAAGGGCACTACCGAGGTACCGCCTCGCAGTCCCAAATTATAAATAATTTCACAATATCTCATTTCCTTATACCACCGCGGGAGCCTTCACGATTTATTTAAAGAAAATATTTTTTCCGAAATAGCATCCCGCGTTTTAGCCACCCTTATCACACTGTATGACTTCTAGTAGTCACCCCTACTAGCCACGCGTATCAAGCCATCCTTATCTCACCGCATGCGTATTAATATCATAATATATCACAATTTATACCTCAAGTGCCCAATATTTCAATTTTTCACAATAAATCAACAATAATATTTTTTTTAATAATAAAGAGCTCACGGCTTATGCCAAAATAATCCAACAATAATATTATTTCCACAATAAAGAGCTCACGGATCCATCACAATGAGTACCAATAAAAAATCTTACGAAAATATTCAAGAATAAATAATTCAGAAAAATAATATTTCAAATTTTTAATACGTTGCTTCAATATCAAATTTAAAAATTTCAAATACTTCATATTAATAATATTTAATTTAAAGAAAATCAACCTTCAAATAATGCACAGTATAAAAGAAATCAAGTTTCAATTAAACAGGTAAAACAATTAGCAGAAAAAGGTCAAACAAATTTAAAATGTATATCACATATCAATGATGAAAAATATAACAAGATAAAATAATTTAATAAATGCGCAACAATGATTTACACAATTTAAAAATATAATCTTTCACATTTAGCCCATGTACACACTCGTCACCTCGTGTACACGATATTCAATACATTTTAATAATCACATTAATATCAATTCTAGGGGAAATTTCCCCCACATAAGGTTAGACAAGTCACTTACCTCGACTTGCTCCAATTTAACTAAGTATTATGCTTTTCTCTCAATTTTTCGACTCCGATCGACTCGTATCTAGTCATAATTAATTCGATACAGTCAACAAAAATTATAGGAATCAATTTCATAAGAAAATACTGTATTTTTCAATAAAATCCAAAATTAGCTCAAAAATTGCCTGTGGGGACCACACCTCAGAATCCGACAAAACTCATAAAATTCGACAACCCATTCAATTACGAGTCCAACCATACCAGTTTCACTCAAATCCGACTCCGAATCGATACCGAAATTTCAAAAATTCGTTTCTATGAGATTTTCTAAAATTTTTCAAATTTCAATCTCAAAACACTAATTAAATGGTGAAAACAATGATATATTTGTGTATATAGACCAAATCCGAGTTGGAATCACTTACCCCAAATGTCTTTCCATGAAAATCTGTCAAAATTCGCCTCTGTTCAAGCTCAAGTTTGTCAAAAATGACAAATGGGTTGAATGCCTCTGTTGTTATAACTTACAGATCTGTCCAGTTCGGTTTTGGGAGCTCGATCTGTCCAGTTCGATCTCGGGAGCTCGATTTTATCAGGGAGCTCGATTTTGTCAAGGAACTCGATTTGTGAGGGACCTCGATTTTGACAAGGACCTCGATTTGTCAGGGACCTCGATTTTGTCAGGGACCTCGATTTTGACAAGGACCTCGATTTGTCAGGGACCTCGATTTTGTCAGGGACCTCGATTTTGACAGGGACCTCGATTTTGGCAGGTAGCCCGATTTTGACAGGCAGCCCGATTTTGACAGCATTTCCAGCAGAAAAATTGCAGTAGCTAAGTCCCATTTTTGATCCGTTAACCATCCGAAACTCACCCGAGGCCCTCGGGACCTCAACCAAGAAT